AATGTTAGATGCAATTAAACATTCTCGTGCTAATTCTTGTAAATTATGAATTTTTGTCATTAATTCAGTTAGATAATCATCATACTTTCTTTCTTTTTCATCGTCAATTATTTCACTAGAAGGTTGTCTAGCTAATTTTCCAAATACCAACTCGTATGGAGTATATCCAGTTGATTCATGTGTGCTTGTATTATATGAGAAGGTTGCAAATTCTAATAATTCATCCCATTCAGTGAATTTATTAACATATTGTTTTAAATATTCTATTAATACTATATATGATCTTTCTAATGCTCCATTGGCTTGTGGATAAAAGGATGTAGTTTTATATTGCTTAATCTTGAATTGTTTACTGAATCGTTTCATTAAATTGCTCATAAAATTTGTTCCTCTATCTGTTAATATTATTTTGGGGGCTCCAAAAAGACAAATAAAATATTTTAATAATGCGTCAGCAACTTGCTCAGCAGTTATGGATTTTAAAGGGACCGCCAAGGAAAATTGGGTTAGGTGATCTTGGATTGTTAAAATATAGGAATTTCCTTTGGAAGTTTCAGGTAAAGGCCCTACTATATCCATTGATATTTTTTCGAAAGACGAAAAAGGTGTATCCGTGATTATCATTGGTTGTTTGGTTTTTACTCTAACTAATTTTTTAATTTGGCATTGTAAACATTGATTAATATAGTTTCGGATATCAGATTTAATATTATCCCAGTAAAAAGTTTGTCGAATTCGATTATAAGTTTTAGTTATTCCTTTATGACCTCCAATTTTGGAAGAATGAGCCTCTTCAATTATGTCTTTCTGATTTTCAATTTCTGGGATTTTTACCAATCCATGACATTATTAATTTGGTTGATGTTCTAAGTATTGATTGTTGAATTTGTTTAAAAATTTCTTCCCATGAGATATTATCTATTTCCTTTGATTTAGCAACATTTAATACTTTAATTGAATTTTCCTTTATTATTTTACGTAATTTAGTTCCAAATTCGAGTAAAATTTTCGAGGTTATTCTTTCTTGAATATTTTCTTTGCAAATAAAAATTAGATGATATTTATTCCCCCTTTTAATTACTTTAAAGTTTCCTACTTGATTTTCTTTAATTTTAGGTATTAAGTTTCGTTTTTGAAGTTGTTTAGATCCCTCATCACAAGGTTTCCCGTCCTTTGTTAAAAGGTATAAATAATTTTCTTTTCTCATAAAAATTTGATCGCGACTGTTTATGATACTAGATTTCTGTCCGCGTGTTTCCATCTGTTTTTCTGTTAATTAGATCGTCTGATTCAAGTTCGTTATATGTTTCGTCAATGTCTTTGTCACTGTCATCTTCTTCTTCTTCTTCAAAGTTATCTTCTTCATCTTCTTCGTTCGAGTCTTCATCGTAGCTCAGGCTGTCTTGATCACCTTCTGGATTAGAATTATTTCTTCTTGTTTCATCTGTCAAAACTTCGCAAAAATCTGTACCTGAATTTTTCTCTTGACAAATTTCATCATAGTCGTAATCTCCTGCTAAATTATTTATTATCTGTAAAAGATTAGGTGGTATTATTATCTGTGAATTAGAGGTATTAGCAATGTTATTATTATTATTGTTGTTAAAATTTCCTGAGAGTAAAGTTTCTGTCTCGAGTTGAATGTTCTGAGTGTCATTTTCGGTTTCATTTAATTCTGTTATAGATAGAGTTCTGTTTCATTAGTGTTTTCTGGTGGTTCATGTTGAATATAAGCTTTCGAATTTCGACAATACTCTCGATAGGCACAGGTAATGACATCTCTGTATCGGTATGCGAGCGTAGCGACTAGTGCGGCGCTGTATGTGCGTTGCGGGTGTATCAGTTAGTCGAACGGAAGATCCAAGCAATATTGGACGTCTTCCGTGTGAGCTCTTATGTGTTGCCCGTGCTCACTACTGCATATGTATAATAATCTAATACTAAGTATATATATACAGGGTGAGTTATAACATTTGTGCCAGAGCTCGTGAGAAGGTAGAACGGATCGAGATGAACAGAAAAGTACTAAACCATTTACAATTTTCGCAATAGTTAATGAGAAATAAATTATCGAAAATCGTCGTCTTTGCCCTGCCTACTGTCCAATTCGAGCGCGTAGCGAGATGTGACCGCCCGGCGATCGATATTGCCTGGCGAGGGGGGGAG